CCCTGGCTTCTGCCCAAGGATCCTCTCTAGGTCAACTGACAGGTCCTCCCCCCCGAAACACTACCAGAGGCAGATCCGTCTCTTAGCCTAAGAATACCATTTGACACCTCAGGGATCTGGGGATCTAATCAGGGGTGGCAGTCCCCCCGCTCCCTCGCATAGTACCTGTCACATCTCAACCTGCCAGGGAACTAGCACAGGATGTTCCATCCACCTCTGCGGGGGTGCCACCTGTACAGATGATTCCTATGGGTGTCCCAAATTTTCAGCAATGCCTAACTGCTGTCTTTCAGCAACCTCAGAACCAGCCTCCCAGAGTGGCCCCTTCACCAACACCAGCTGTGGTGGAGGAGCAGGAGCCGCCTGACTCCCCTACCCAGTCCAAAGAAGACATGGATTCTGAGTCTGAGGAAGGAGAAATCAGAGAGGAAAACCTCGGAGGACGAAGGCATGCCTTCCAAACCTAAGTTCTCCGGTCCTTTTCAGCCTTCCCTATTCAAGTCAATCTTGTTCAAGGCTAAAGCCTCAGCCAAATTCGTTGACAAGCTCCCCGAAAACTCTGCTCAACCACAAGGGATATCAGCAGAAACTATTTTTGCTGAACAGGCCATTGAGGCAGAAACAGTGCCCACGCTAAAAATCTTCCTTGATCTTGTAAAAAGACAGTGGATGACCCGCACTTCAGGGCCCATGCCAAATTCTACAGATAAGACTTTCTTCAATGTAGATAAGGAAATGGCCCAAGTACTTCTACCTCCTTCTATCGATACCCCAATATCGGCCTTGCATACATCTGCTAATATGCCAGGGGCTCCTGAAGATGCACTGAAACCAGAAGACAAGAAGGCGGACCTTACACTGCAAAGAGGTCATCAGGCGGCAGCCTGGGCAGTGAGGGTGGCCACGACTGCCTCCTCCTTTAAACGTTCTTGTCTGCTTTGGTTACAGGACTTGCAGCAGAGAGTTAACACCTCTCTCCGGGAGGGATCCTTCCTGCACCTCCTAAAGGATGCGGTGGTGAG